TTTTCGTTTTGACAGGGACGACGGGGCTGTCAGCATATTGCATGCTGCGCGCAGGGCTGCCATCCCAGACAAAAAAACAATACAAAATGCACCTCGCAACTACCCCGCGATCACTGTCAAGTGGTTTTTGAAAGGGGCGGCGGGGGTGGTGGCGCGTGGCCTGGTGTGCGCAAGCCCACCAGACACAATGATGGGCATTGGTTTCGACATGGATGGTGGGGGCCGACATGTTCCCGATGTGTGCTGTCACGTGCGCTGGCGCACCTAACGCACTCTGCACGTGCCCAGAACATGGCGCCCCTGGCGCGGCTGGAGTGTGCGGCACACCTGGCGCACTCGGAGCACGTGGCGCATCTGGCGCACCAGGCGTGCCTGCCACGCTCAGGCCCCAAGGGGGTATGGCGCGCGTGACGCGTCTAGCACGCGTGACGCACCTCGCCCAAGCGTCGCGCACCTGGGGTCGGCTTTGGTCCTCTTGGCGCTCATTGGGGCCGTCCTGAAGGCTTCTCTTCTGGGGGCCTGGAAGATCCTCCAGAGCCCTGAAAAGGGCCCGCCGGCCACAGAGACCAGAGTCTGGTGCGGGGGGGGTGGGGGGAATTTTGAAGAAGTGGAAGCCCCACGGCCCGGGGAACCAGTCGGCGGTTATGCTATAGAATCCTCTGGGTTTTTCTTGGGTTCTGAGACAGATCAGGGAATCCTAACCAGAATTAGCATGATGTTTCCAGTTCGTACGAAATCCTGAAGGAAGGAATTCAAAGAAGTTCAGCTTCCAGGAGACGAGGGCACAGGTGGCAACGTTGCGACGACGACGACGACGACGACAACGACGACGACGACGACGACGACGACGACGACGAGGGGAAGGGGAGGAGGAGCACGGAGAGCAGGCGAGTACATCCGCCTCGTCACCATCATCAGCAGCAGCTGCAGCATCAGCAGCAGCATCGTCATGACACTCATATTCATAATCATCATCCGCACCACCACCACCATCATCATTACCACAATCATCATCACCATCAGCAACAACAACATGATGATCATCATCATCATCATCATCATCAGCATCATCATCATCATCATCATCATCATCATCATCATCATCATCATCAACATCATCCTTATCATCATCATAATCATCATCGTCATCGTCAGCATCACCGTTGCCGTCGTATTCCCCCACACTCCGTCTCCTCATCCTCCTCTCCATATTTCCCCCTCTCCCTGTCCTTTTGCCCCTCCAACGTGTACCTCTGCCTCCTTTTGCCTTCACCTTTTGCCCCTTCCCCCTCCCTCTCCTTTTCCCTCTGCCCCGGGTATCTGGGTTCAGATTAGGAAGGCAAGGGCTACGGAGTTCGGGTGCAGATATGATTGTTCGCTGGCATTCGTGTAGAGGCGGAGGTGTCAGGGCGAGATTGCTAGGGCTAGGGTCGTGCAACTGGGGCGTCAAGATTGGAACGGAACGGCGAGGGTGGTCAGGGCGAGGCTGAGGGTTGAGGTGTTAGGGTGCGGTACTGCCCCGTATATACTGAAAACCGATAAGGCAATAAATCGATTTTGCGACCGCAGTCACTCACTCACTCACTCATGCCATACACCCGAGTGCGTGGGCGCAAGAAGACAGGGCCAGGCTATTCTCACAGCATTGCGGGAGCGGCGGCACGACGGCGGTCGCATGATTCACAACGTGCGCGGCAGGGGAGCAACCAAAGGTGAACACATCGAATAACAATAAAACCGATTAACCGATCCTGGCCAGATTTCCGCCACAGGACGACAAAACAAACCGATGGACCGATAAACGGACACTCGCATCATGAACTGAGAACCAGACACGCGGGCGTGGGGACGGGATTAGTGGTTTACCAACTCACGGGACTATCGACTGATAAATTGACGCAACGGTTTGTCTGATCGGTCGACCAACCGATGCGCCGATAAACCGAAACAATTTTCATTTTATCGGTGTACAAATTTATGTTCGTGTCATCCGGCTGCGTATCTCGATATAGATGTGTATCTCTATATATATATATACATATATATATAAGAACCATCGCGCGCGTTTCGCGCGCTTTGGTTCTGGCCGAGATCACGGCAAGGCCCCGGCAGACGTGTCAAGGCAGGCTTTTTCTTACGTGTACATATACACCTATATATATATATATATATATATACAAGTGGCACGTGTGTGCCCAGGCTCAAACAACAAGCTGAAGGGGCGTTTGAAGCAGGAGTGACATGCAACAGCGAAGTCGCACTCGAGCGCAAGTGGGGTTGCCACACCTTGCGATGTGTGTACCAGGGCCCCCCAGGAAGCCTCAGGAGGCCCGACTTGGATACCAGAAGAGGCTCCAGGAGGCCCCAGGATTGTGAGTGTTGTGTGTGTGATGTGTGCTTTGTGTGGTGCGTGCTTTTTGTGTGTTGTCGGTGTTGTGTGTGTATGTTATGTTTGTCTAGCGTGTGATGTGTCGGGCGTGATTTGTGTCTCTGTGTGTGCATGTAGTTCTGAAGCCCCAGGAAGCCCCAGGAGGCCCCAGGCGGCCTCAGCAGGCCCAGGAGAACTCCAGGAGGCTCCGAGGCGGGGTCTGGGGTACCAGAAGGTCCAGGAAGCCCCAGGAGGCCCCAGGAGGTTCCAGGAGGCCCCCAGGAGGCTCCGGGGAGGGGTCTGGGGCTCGATTTTGAAATGATTTTTGCATGCGAAACCGCCATTCTCTGAGAATCGGGGTCAAAATGATTGAAATTACCATGTGTTTTTGGAGGTTTTATGTTAAAATGTTGAAATTCCCATGTGTTTTTGGACCCTGACGTCACGATCTGCGTGAGGGGTGCCACCGATTTTCAGAATTTCGAGGATGTCCCGAGCGAAACGGCCAGAAAAATCACGGACGACGTGCGCATCAATCGCCTCTGAGCTCTACTCCCTCGGAGAGGTGCGTATGATAATATAGATATATATATATGTGTGTATATGTGTATGTATATGTAAATGTATATGTATATGTATATGTATATGTATTTGTATTTGTATATGTATATGTATATGTATATGTATATGTATGTGTATATGTATATGTATATGTATATGTGTATGTATGTATGTATGTATGTATGTATGTATGTATGTATGTATGTATGTATGTATGTATGTATGTATGTATGTATGTATGTATGTATGTATGTATGTATGTATGTATGGATGTATGT